TTGCTAAATATTTGATTTTTTTTGTAGCTATGTGATTGGGATTTTTTTTTGATTTCTCTTTCAGTGAGATTATTGTTAGTGTATAAAATGCTACTATTTTATATATGTTGATTTTGTATCTTGCACTTTATTGAATTGGTTAATCAGTTCTAGCAGCTTTTTAGTGGATTGTGGTGGGTTTTCAATGTACAATATCAAGTCAACATGGCTTGTTTCTCTGTCTGCTGGGTTTCAGAATCTCCAGGTTGTTTATAGTTTCCATCACTCCTCTACTGAAGTTTGTCCACAATCTTCTGGGAATGTGGTTCTTTCCTTGTTCAGAAACTTTTTCCTGGTTGAGATGCAAATCCTTTGTATTCAGCCATCTTGACCTTTGCTCCTCACTCCCCACAGTGATACTTTGACATCGCACTTTGTCTAGTCCCCAAATAAATCGCCCATTCATGTCATCCCTTCCATGTCATCCCTTCCATGTCATCCCTGAGACTTACTGCACAGAGCAATCCTGTAGAGTTTGTGGTCACTGAAATACAAGTGGAAGTATTAATAATAACAAGTTCTTCTTTGACAGCCCAAGGAGTGAATATTTATGTCTAGGGTCCTTTTTTTTTTCTTTTTAAAGATTTATTTATTTATTTGGAAGTCAGAGTTAACCAAAAGAGAGAAGGAGAGACAGAGAGATCTTCCATCCACTGGTTCACTCCCCAGATGGCCACAACAGCCAGGGCTGGGCCAGGCCAAAGCCAGGAGCCAGGAGCCAGGAACTTCTTTAGGCTCTCCCATGTGGGTGGTAGGGGCTCAAGTACTTGTACCGTCATCTTACACTGCTTTTCCTAGGACATCAGCAGGGAGCTGAACTGGAACTAGAGCAGCCAAGACACAACTCAGTTCCCAAATGGTGTACTGGCTTTGCAGGTGGTTTTACCTGCTAGGCCACAACATGGGCCACTATCTTTAGGGTCATTTTTGACTGTAGATGAATGAAAGCTAAGCCTAGAAAGGGGCATTTTAAAATGGAGTATTTGGGGCCGGCGCGGCGGCTCAACAGGCTAATCCTCCACCTAGCGGTGCCAGCACACCGGGTTCTAGTCCCAGTCGGGGCGCTGGATTCTGTCCCGGTTGCCCCTCTTCCAGGCCAACTCTCTGCTATGGCCCGGGAGTGCAGTGGAGAATGACCCAAGTGCTTGGGTCCTGCACCCCATGGGAGACCAGGATAAGCACCTGGCTCCTGGCTTTGGATCAGCGCGATGCGCCGGCCACAGTGCGCCGGCTGTGGCGGCCATTGGAGGGTGAACCAATGGCAAAGGAAGACCTTTCTCTCTGTCTCTCTGTCTCTCTCACTGTCCACTCTGTCTGTCAAAAAAAAATGGAGTATTTGTTGAAGAACACTGATTCTTGAGTTATTTAACTTTTTTTGGCTTGAAATTCCTTCTCTCTGAAATGGGAGATTTGAACTAAATAACTTTAAAATCTCCACTTTTCTATAATTATATGATTTGTGTCCTGATCTTGAGTCTTTATTTTAAAAAGAAGCATTAATTGTATGCTGAAGGCAATAAAAATAGGAAATGGCATACCTGAGAAAAAAACGTGGCTTTGGAGTCCAATAGACTATTTTCAGTTCTTTCACTTCTAGTTCATAGTTTCCTTATCTAGAAGCCTGGATTGATAAAAGCAAACATGCAAGAAATTAATGATAAGATAATAAAAAACACTTGGTACTTGTAAACACTCAACAAATATAAGAGTAAAATTGATGTCATTGGGACTAGAACTAATCAATACAACTAATTAATCATTAAGAAAATATCTTATGTTAGCAGTAATATATAACCAAAGGCAGCTGCCAAAACTATTAAGTTTAAAAGATCCATTTCTGAAACTTTTTACTGGGGATTCTTCTAATACAATAACATATAATGAGATGCTTTAAAATACACCATAATTTGGGGTGGGCCTTTGATGGAGCAGTTAAGATGCTGCTTGGGATACTCACATCTCATGTTGAGATACCTGAGTTCAAGTTCCTGCTCCTCTGCTTCCTAGTCCAACTTTTTCCTAACATACACCCTGGGAGGCAGTAGGTGGTACCTTGTCGCTCCCCCTCTTCGTGGAGGAACGACACAGGACCCTGCGCTGTTCTTTCGTCTGCTCGGCCCTCCCCGGGTTTGCTGCTGGTTCTTCCCGGGTTGGCTACTATCCCTTCCACCTCCGTGGAAGGGCAGTTCCCCCTGGCCACATTCCCCACTTCCGCAGGGGAGCGGCACACCGCCGGCCGGCTCTTCTCGGGGGCTGCACAGGTGTTCCTTCAGCTAGATGTTCCCCCTAGATGTTCCTGGTGCATGCCGTCTCTCTCCTCCTTTATAGTCCTCCTCCGCCAATCCTAACTCGGCTGCCCACACGCCGAGTACGCTGCTCTCCTCCAATCAGGAGCAAGTCCTACAGTTTATTAGCTGAACTGGAGGCAGCTGTGTAGAAGCTGTTTACTTCTCTCCCAGCGCCATATTGTGGGAGAGCAGATGCATAGAATAAGTCTTAATTCCAGTAACTTAGTCCAGTCCGGATTGCTCCCCACAGTACCTCAAGTACTTTGGTGCCTGCCACTCACATGTGAGACATACACTGAATTCTGGGCTCATGGCTTTGGCCTGGCCTGGCCCAGCCCCAGCTATTGCATGCATTTGGGGAGTGAACCAGGAGATGGAAGATCTTTCTCTGTTTGTCTATCTCTGCTTTAGCCTTTCAAATACGGAAACAGTTAATTAAAAATCATAATTCGTATTTCATGTGGCCGGTTCTGTGGCACAGTAGGTTAATCCTCTACCTGCGGCACTGGCATCCCATTTGGGCACTAGTCCCAGCTGCCCCTCTTTGAATCCAGCTCTCTGCTATGGCGTGGGAAAGCAGTAGAAGATGACTCAAGTTTTTGGGCCCCTGCACCTGCATGGGAGACTAGGAAGAAGCACCTGGCTACTGGCTTCAGATCAGCGCAGCTCCGGCCGTTGCAGCCATCTGGGGAGTGAACCAACGGAAGGAAGACCTTTCTTTCTGTCTCTCCCTCTCACTGTTTGCAACTCTACCTCTCAAATAAATAAATAAAATCTATAAAAAAGTTAAAAAAATCATAATTCACATCACATGTCTTCCTAATTATAAGTATCTATAACAAAAATGTCATTCAAAATTAACTCACTTTGAACATGCTAATCATGCATTTGTTATTATAGAAGGAGTCAATTGTATAATTAAATATTCAGAAATTATAGGTAGTAAAATTATATGCTGGAAATTCTGACTTAATGAAATTCTTTTTTCTTTCCTAAAAATGTATTTATTTGAAAGGCAGAGTTACAGAGACAGAGGGAGAGACATATATACAGAGAACTCTTCCATCTGCTGGTTGACTCCGCAAATGGTCTCAATGGCCAGGGCTGAGTTAGGCCAAAGCCAGGAGCCTGGAACTCTACCCATGTCTCCAACATGCATGCAGGGACCAAAGCAACCTGGGTCTCCCACATGGGTAGCAGGGCCCCCAGGCACTTGGGCCATCTTCTGCTGCTTTCCCAGGCACATTATGAGAAAGCTAGATTGGAAATGGAGCAGCTGGGACTCCAACTGGTACCCATATGTGATGCTAATGTCACAGTCAGCAGCTTAACCCACTGTACCACAACATAACACCTGCCCTGCAGAATGGGATTCTAAAGCAGGTTGAAAATTTTGTGAACATTTATCATGTTGAAGAAAGCTTGGAACAATTCTTTTTTTTTTTTTAAGATTTATTTTTTATTTGAAAGGCAGAGTTACAGAGGCACAGAGAGAGAGACAGAGAGAGAGAGAGATGGAGAGAGGTCTTCCTCTCACCGGTTCACTCCCCAAATAGCCACAATGGCCAGAGCTGGGCCTATCTAAAGCCAGGAACCTGGAGTTTCTTCCAGGTCTCCCACGTGGATGCAGGAGCCCAAGGATTTGGGCCATCTTCTGCTTTCCCAGGTCATAGCAGAGACCTGAATCTGAAGTGGAGCGCCGGGACCCAAACCGGCACCCATATGCCCATGGTGCCAGCTTTACCTGCTATGCCACAGCACCAGCCCCAGAACAATTATTTTTGCCTAAACACAACTTTACTCCTAGTTTTAATACAAATGATTATGTTGTTGAAAAAAAAGAGATGGATGTCAAACTGGAAGGTAGACAGATAGGTGGAGGGATAGGGAAGCTTGCAAAGCATGAAATTGATTTTTTAATTACCTAAACTCTGGGGGAGGGCTAGCCTCCAGTCTGGAATCTATGTATGAATGAACTCTGCTCTACAGAGGTGGAGGGAAAACACATGTATACATTTCATTCTTTATGGTGAAAAACAAATTTGAGATCAGGAACAGGTAGCTCATTTACCATAAAATGTAGTTGAAAATGTTTCTCAGATAAGTACATTCTAATGGCAACAGAATCTAGGAAATTTGAAATTTTTACTTTCAAATCTAGAAGATTTGAAATTTTTGCTTTTTTTAATGCAAAAACTTTAGCAAAAATCATGAATTAAAAAATTCAAACAATGCAAATTGTAGATGGATAGTGGAAAATCCCTTGTAATGTTACCCCCAAGAGTTAGAAACTGCTAATAGTTTGGTGAAAAATTTCCAAATGGTTCACATTTTTGGCTACTAGACATGATGCAACGAAGAATATCCTAGTACATGAATCATTGTGCAATTTATAAGCACTTCTACCTAAAAGTGAATTTGCTAGGTCAGAGAATATACAGTAGAAGTTGACTAACATTATGTCAACCAATAGTGCATGAAAGTTCTTGGAATATATTTTACATACTGATGTTAGCTAGGACCTGAGTTTCAAACCTTCTCTAAATATAATTTTAAACAGAACCTGAAGGGAAATCTCACATGTCATTAGTATTATAATGGTAATATATATATAGTATTTTTTCACAATTTTAACTATTTGTTTTTCTCTCTCACTTTCCCTCACTTTTGTAGCTATCGAACTTCACTGGGATGTTGGCTCTAGAAGACTTTATTTTGCTGGCCAGTGGAACAGAGTCTGTAGAAAATGGTACATTCAAAAATCTGAATACACTGAAGACCTTAGAACTCTGGAAAAATAGGTTAATAAAGGTCCCCACTGCCCTCCCAGCCACCCTTGAAGTGTTAAAACTAAATGATAATTCCATAACCATCCTACTTGGGTCAGATTTTGAAGGGCTGAAAAAATTAAGAATCCTTGAACTTAAAAACAACCTGCTATCCTGCCTCTCCCCTGGCATGTTCTCCTCCCTCCTCAGCTTGCAGAGCTTGTCGGTGGATGGTAACCATGTGGAGTCTGTGGCTGGACCCCTGCCACTGCCCAACCTGCAACATGTGAGCATGGAGAACAATAAGCTACACCTCATCCCAAGCAACTTCTTTACTTCCCTGCAGTCTTTGCAGTATGTCAGTTTCAGTGGTAACTTTCTCACTAGAATTCCTGTTAACCTACCCAAATCCTTGCGATCTTTAAAGATGGAAAGAAACCAGCTCAAAGTAGTAAGATTTCGGGATTTGAAACACTTGGAGAACCTTTCCCATCTTTACCTCTCAGAAAACTTACTGTCTTCCATGGATGGGGCACAGATCCTCTCCAATTTAACTACTCTCGAGTTGTCCCAAAACCAGCTTCAAATGTTGCCCCTCAAGCTACCAGCAAGGTTACAAAAACTTGACTGCAGCAATAACCTGATTCAGAGAGTCACAGCTCAAGACTTCCAGGACCTGCGAGACTTGAAACATTTGTTTCTGGACAACAACATTGTCAGCTTGTTCGAAGCTGGAGCCCTTCAGGGATGTTCTCAGCTCTCCAACCTAGCCCTGGAGCAGAACCTGCTGTTGTCCATACCTCTACGGTGAGTGAGTGTTATTTATTGTGACTACTACAAGGTTTTTCTAAAGTTTGGAACAATTCACATTATACAGGCAAGAAACTTCAGACAAACATCAATTATCTGATCAAAATTATACAAGGGTTTAGGGAAAGAAGTTTTAAATAGAGATTTTGAATTTGCAGCCCTCACACTGAATCCTGCATTCACTTAATTTATGTTGTCTATGGGAGGCAAGACACCAACAGGTGGTATCTATACGAACAAACAGAATAGAAGATATTTTAAAAAGTGGGTCTCAGTTTCTATGTATATGGCCTGGATAACCAACAGGCAGACTAGCCACTAACAAAACAAGGACACCAGAGAAAAAAAGAGGGAGGAAATATAGTAATATATATTTTAAAAGCATTGAAATGTTAGTTAAGGGGAAAAATAAAATTTTGTAATGTAGTATTATATTTACTTTGAATTACTATTCATTGGGGGAGCCTCACATTGCCTCAGTGCTGCCATCTTTGAAGGGTTTAAGCTGGCTTTGCTTACTTCTCTGTATGTCTGTCTGTATGAGTGGGCAAGTCCATCCGTGTCTGTCTCCCCTTCTGTTTTTGGTTATCTCTTCAGTTTCTCTCCCCACTCCCTACACACACACACACACACACACACCTCACAACAACAATTTCTCTTTCTTTTTTCTTTTAAAGATTTATTTATTTTACTTAAAAGAGTTAGAGAGAGAGAGAGAGAGAGAGGTCTTCCATCTACTGGTTCACTACCCAATTGGATGCAAAGGCTGGAGCTGTGCTATCTGAAGCCAGGAGCCAGGAGATTCTTCCGGGTCTCCCATGCCAGTACAGGAGCCCAAGGACTTGGGCCATCCTCTGCTGCTTTCCCAGGCCACAGCATAGAGCTGGATCAGAAGAGGAGTGCCAAGTCTTGAACTGGCGCCTATATGGGATTCTGGCACTGCAGGTGTTAGCTTTACCCGCTACGCCACAGTGCCAGCCCCAGTTTCTCTTTCTATGTATCCTCCCTGTGCTCAATCCACTGTACTTGTTCACCCTATTAAGTCTCTAACTAATGTAATGTTTATATTAACTGATCCTGTTGATTATACTTTATTTCATGTTCTACATTTTAAAGTAGATAAATTAAATGAAGAGAAGAATGCAGCACTATTATTCTCTTTAAAAAGACACTGTTGTTTATTATATGAGTGGATCCTTTTTCCTTTAAGCACTTTATTGAAAAAAAACTTTTTGCCCTGTCTTTATCATTATCAAATTTCTCATAATTAATATACTAAGTTCTGGATTCTGGAGAATCCTAAAGCAATTTATGTATCTAATTACATTGTTAGTATAGTTTTTTTATCAAGGAGAAAGGGAAAATTACTGCTGATATGTATGTATGTTAATTTTTTTCCTAGTTGAAAAATAGATGTTTTATGTAATATAATTACTGTACCCAAAATAAAACATCAAAAAGTGATTTTTCCAACTGAAATTAGAATTTTTGAATACATATTGAAGTTAATTTGAAATTAATCAATTTGTTTTTGTGCATAAGCATGGACATACCATGAACTTAATTCAACAAATATGTTTTGAGTACTTCCCTTGTGCCAGGAACTTCACTGGCACTTGGGCTACATTAATGTAATAAGAGATGGAACTTCCTATTTTATACAGCTTAAATTCTAGCAGGAGAAAGTAGACAATAAACTGAATATATAATTGAAGTGTTCACTATTTAGGCTGTGTTAGGTGCTATAACCAAAATGGGCATGATAACGAGGTAGGAGTATAGAGGGTGGAGTGACTGGTTTCAATTTCAAATGGAGTAAGCATAGTGACCCTCACCAAAAGGTAAACTTTGAGTAAAGACTTGAAGGAGGTTAGGGAATTAGCCATGAAGCTATTAGGAGAGAAAAGTGTACTAGACAGGAGAACAGCCAGTACAAGGCCCTCAGGCAAGAACATGCCTGCAGGATTTCAGGACTCTGTTACTTGCTATTTTTAAATAATTTCTTTACTACATATGTTTCAGACCTTATCTTCTATTACTGAGTATCCCTACACCAAGGAAAAAAATAGTGTATGAAATACATAAAACTCATAAAACAGGCTAGGAATGTCTGTGTCACATGAGGACATGATAGCTGGTGATGACAGCCATGGGCAAAACTGTGGACCTAGTGGATTTTTGTACTTGGGTATCTTTTAGGAAGCACTTGGTTAAGGAATTCTGCTAAGTTTAGTGACTGGAAAATGAGTTAATTATTTACTCCTACTGAGTATCTGTGCTTTTATAAGTGACCACAGAGAACATAATGCATTTACCCAATGGAGTATAAAATGGAATCACAAGCATGAGCTAACCATAGTTCTCAAATCTGACTTCATGTTAGAATTATCTGGAGAAGTAGGAAAAAGAGTACTAGTACTGAAGCCTCACATCAAACAAGTAAAATCAGATGCTTCATGGTTGGGCTGAAGCATCAGTAAATTTTTTTAAATCAATTTATTTGTTTGAGAAGCAGAGAGTCAGAGACAGACAGAGATAGAGAAAAACAGATAGTGTTCCCATCTGCTGGTTCACTCCCAGATGTCCAGTGGCCCAAACCAGGAGCCTGAAACACGAGAGCCCAATTACTTGAGGCTATCATTCTTCCTCCTGGGGTCTGCTTCAGCAGGAAGCGAAAGTCAGGAGTCAGAGTAAGGACTCAAATCCAAGTACTCCAATGTGGGATGCAGGCATCTAAACTGCTAGGTCAAATGCCCACTCCTCTTGTGAGTTTTAAATATGCCTACTGGGGCCAGCACTGTGGCACAACAGGTTAAAGCCCTGGCCTGAAGCACCGGCATCCCATATGGGCACCGGTTCGAATCCCAGCTGCTCCACTTCCCCCACACCCACATAGGAGGCCCAGAAGAAGCTCCTGGCTCCTGGCTTCGGATGGGTGCAGCTCCGGCCTTGCAGCCATGTGGGGAGTGAACCAGTGGATGGAAGACCTCTCTCTCTGTCTCTACCTCTCTCTGTAACTCTGTCTTTCAAATAAATAAAATAAATCTTTAAAAATAAATAAATAAATAAATACGCCCATAACCATCCCCTCTTTGCAGCTTTTCTTTGCATTGGGAGGTGAGAATGATCTAGAAAAGGTCCTATGTGCTTTAACTTCCATAAAGAATTAAAACAATACCTGTTCTTTCTATTTGAATTTTAAATTTTGATTTATGAGGTTTAAACAGATCTGTTCTTTTTATTTGCAAAATTCCATTTTCTATAAATAAACTGTAAAAGCCACCTGCTCCTATCACAAATAGTATTTCCAGGAATCCTTCTTCTGCCTACCCCATTCCACACTACATTTTATCAAGAAGATAATGGTATATGGTCCCAGAACACATATTAAAATACCTACATCATTTGCCACAATACATTAGTCAAGACAGAAAACTAATTTGTAACATTTTACTACCTGCTTGCTAAAGTCAACAATGCACTTATATTCATAATTCCTTAGTCCTCAAAACAACAATTGTGTGAAGGTAGATACATTGTTTTATCTATTATTTTATTTTTTAAAATTAATTTCTTTATTTGAAAGTGAGAGAGAGAGAGAGAGAGAGAATCATCCATCTGTTGCTTCACTCCCCAGATAGCTGCAACATCTGGGACTGGGCCAGGCCAAAGCCGAGAGCCAGGAGCTTCTTCCAGGTCTCCTATGGGGGTGGCAGGAGCCCAAAAACTTGGGCCATCTTCTGCTGTTTTTCCAGGCCATTAGCAGGGAGCTGGATCAGAAGTGGGGCAGGGGCCGGCGCTGTGTCGCAGCAGGTTAAAGCCCCAGCCTGCAGCGCTGGCATCCCATATGAGTGCCAGTTTCTGTCCCAGCTGCTCCTCTTCAGAACTAGCTCCCTATTAACGCACCAGGAAAAGCAGCAGAGGATGGCTCAAGTACTTGACCTCCTGCACCCATGTGGGAGACCCTGAAGAAGCTCCTGGCTCCTGGCTTCTGATCAGCTCAGCTCCTGCCGTTGCTGCCACTTGAGGAGTGAACCAGCGGATGGAAGACATCTCTCTGTCTCTACCTGTCTCTGTAACTCTCTCTTTCAAATAAATAAAATAAATCTTAAAAAAAAAAAAAGTGGAGCAGCCGGGACACAAACAGTTGCCATATGGGATACCAGTGTCATAGGTTTTATCCATTGTGTCACACCGCCAGCCCCTTTACCTATTACTTTAAAGATTCAGGTATTAAGATTTAGTAGTAATAAGAAAGATGGTCAAAGTCACATTGTCAGTAAGTGTGTCAGGACTGAAACACAGTGGTTTAACTGTATTGGGGTGGGGAACCTCTTTTCTGCCAAGGGCCATTTGAATATTTATAATATCATTTGCTGGCCATACAAAATAGTTAACTTAAAAATTAGCCTGCTATAGATTTACTGAATTTCGCATCTTGCCTTTGGTTGCCTTGGCAAGGCCAGACCCAATGATTTCAGCCCACTGGCCAGACGATGCCCACCCCTGCTAGAGAACAAGACCATTTAGCCACTGCATGATTCTGTCTTTGAGATCTACTCTGGGGTCGACAATAACTATATGACTGAGAACGTAGAACACCCAACAGGTAGGCCTCCATATTTCACTCATCTTCAGTTCAGTGAGGTAAGTTAGATTATCTCTTCTTCATCCGTTTGCTGGACAATTCAAATCCAGAATAGCTCTCTACAGCCTGACATAGTCACTGAGCATTTTACCTTATATGCAAGTGCCATCTACTGGCAACATGTGCTATGCCCTTTTCTGTGATAAGTAGCAATAACCACACTGAAAAGAACAAATGATAACGTTTCTAGAAACACATTTGTCTTCAGAGCAGAGCTATCTTTTTACATAAATCAAAGTTGTAATGACAAATTTTATCAAAGTAATGAGTGACTGTCAAAAGATCACAAACCAGGATAATTAGTGTTTTCTCTTATAATGTCATTTTGATTAGAATTTTGATAGAAACA